ACGCATATTGCGAACGAAGATCCCAGCGATTAACACTGAACCTACTAAAGACGTCTGACATGTGTTGTTTCATAAGAATAATAACACTAAATTTATTTAGACATTTTACTGTGTTTTTTTATTAGAATATGTGCTTGACTTGAGTCATTTATTCAATTATTTTGTTAGCACAATTCCAACAATTTTGAAATAAAGAATGCGTGACCGGCCATTTCGACCGGTTTCGTAGGTTAAACGTTAACAGCGTTGGAAAAATACTCGGCTACGATGAAATTCTGTTCTACATTTGTGGATGTTAAGCAACAAGTTTTCCAAAAATGATGGCACATCGTGTATGCTACGTTTAGTATTATCGTAAGTGCAATTCGAATCTGTCGAACCGATCGCAAAACACTGAAAAAGTGGATACCGCTTGTACAAACGACCCAAGGCGGGTTATGTGTATTTGATACGATGGAAATCTCGTTTTTAAGCATTCTATCAGACGTATTTAGATCGGTCGGTGTCGGGGGCGTGCGATTGAGAAACTTTCCAGCCCACAAGCGTTTCGTGCGTCCACGCAGTCGCGCCGATTTCAGCCGTTTCGAATCGTAACCAGGAAAATGACGGACTCGCTGCACCGCGACCTCGACAATGCCTTTCGCCGTCGATCGAGCATTGTGCGCCGCTTCGATCGGTGACATAAGAAACGCCCGCCGCGGGAAAGTAATATTGCGTTTTAAACGGTGATCCGGCAATCACCTCGGTAAATAGGAAACAGTAAGCAATCGGAAGAAACATTGCCAAGGATAACGACGTTAATCATTCGCATAAAGGAGTTCCAGCATTCATTCGAATAAAGGATAATTAATGGGAGATTAATCCACGTTTGATGTATTTCATTTCCTTTGAAAGCCATTTCCTTTCTTTGCATTAACGAGTGAAATAAATAAAACGCAGGACAGCGAATGTTGAAAGCAAACATATTCAAGCGTCAATATATCATCGAGTTAGCATAATTTTAGTTGTCGATGCTTTCGATGTGAAACGTCGACGTTGTCTCGCAACGAAGTGATTAACACGAAAACCGACCCCAAAACAATTCCTACAAAATCAAAGCAATTTGATTAACGAAACCGAAGCTAGAACGTTACAATTAATTGCAGCGGATGGTGCTTCAACTCTTGCGCATCCTAAACATTCTAGTCGAATTCATCTTTTCCAACAGGAACGAACTGTGAAAACGAGTCTGCTGAAAGTTAGTGTCGTTCGCAAACGTAATTAGAGAGAGAACGTTTCGGTTACGAATTTTACAAGGGTTCTGCAGCAACGATCACGTAACATCTCGTTCGAACGGAAGCGTAGCTGGTGCCGCGTTTAAACCGTACTTTCCAGCTGACAATCGGCTCGTAGAAGTTAGTTAACATTCTACCGGTCGCATACCAAAAATGAAAGAAGAAAAGAAGAGAAGCGAGGAAGACGCTCGGAACGATTCGAATGCCGCGCCGGAGACTTCGATGCCCGGCGAGGCGAGATCGCCGTTCCCGAAGCGTTAAATATACCCTACGGCCAGCTAACAATTTCCTTTGTGTCGCGGGCACGTTTCGATGCTTATGGTTTCCCGTTTAACATGCGGAACACTGGAATCCCGGCTACGTTAAAACGGCTTCATTGTGCGGCGACGTACGGCCGCGTGTTTAAACGGCCGCTTTGGATTCCGGCGAGCATGATCCGGCGATCGATATTAGCGTGGTCGCGGACCACGAGCGGGCCAGAAGCAAATGATGGCATAATGTATTCGGAATGCATTTGCAAGATAATAGGCGGCGGCTCGATGGCGTTCGGGAGACGTCCCCCGTAAGAAGTCCGTAGCCGGCGTCGCGTTGCATCCAGATGCAATATACCCGCGAAGGAAACTCCGCGGAAAACGTGAACGAAGAAAAGAGTCGATCGCCGACAAGAGTCGCCACGATGAATTTCAATATAGCTCGGTCTCGCTCGGCGAGACTACGCCTTTTATCGTCTCTAAACCGCATCCTTACACGGTTTTATCGTTAATCTCGACTTCCTAGCGAGCCCGCGCGCGAGAGTTTCCCGTCTGCCGTCATTATCATAAATCGCGCGACGTCTACCGTCTTCGTTCTTTTTTCTATGTCTTCTCCTTTTTGCAAACGAACCGTCGATTACCGCTAACTTGGCTATGTCGCCGGGAGCCGAGAACGCGCTCGCTCGCTCGCCCGCGCGCGCGAGCGCACCGTTCTCCTTAATCATCTATATTTTTATATTCCTAACAGGACTTACGCAATGCCCGCCGTATCGTTGGTAAATATAGGTACTTGCGTTAGATCCAAAGGCGGTGACGCCGCGTCCAAGTCCATAAAAGAGCGCACCAAAAGGATCACTCCCGATATACACTCCCGGTATGCGTCGCCGTATCCTTTTCGACTATACATAGAACTTTCTTGCTTGCTCACTCACTCGCGGCCACGACTCGCCACACACCCGGCTCCGTTTTCCTCGTCCCCGCTACTTAAGCTTCTTAATCATCCCTCGCGACGTTCTCGCATCCTCTCCTCCACGGTCCTCGAAAACCACGCACACTCCCGTCGGCGAAACCGGATCCGTGGCCGGTGAACCTCTTATACTTGTCACAGAAAGTGTCCCCGCGCGGAATCACTGCAACACTATGCCCAGAGCCGCGATCGATCTCTTCCCCCCGATCTCTATACCTGCGAAACCTTCTCGATTTTCGCGAGTTTCATTGTTCCCGGCCGCCCCGTCCTTGATCGGTGAACAAATACCCCCGGCCGGCCTCCGGCGGAAGGGCTAATAATCGTCGAGTAATTTACTTTTTTTTAATTCGACGGATGAGGCAGCCTAGACGACGATGGGGTTTTATTTACAGACGGTCGTAAACATTGCTCGCCGTTGTAATTAAAGAAGCAGATCGGGTACGCGCGCGCGCGCGCGCCTCGCCCAACGCGAATGTTATTAATACCACGAGAAGATAATTCAGAGACTGCGAGCTCCGTACTTTGGTATTCTTTTCTTTTCTTCTTTTTTTTTTAATTAAAATATGCGCTATTGCTTCAGATGCTCGTTCGACTCGTTAACATTTTTCTTCAGACGACACCACTGTGAGATCGGCTGTGTCATCGTTCGGAATTTTATATAAAGCGTTTTCCGATGTTAGGAAACGTGTTATAAAGCCTTTGTTTTTCTGCCGGGCATGTGTATCGAAGCAATGTTGACGTAACGCATTGTTCGTCGAACGAATGATTTGATTCCAATGCTGCCGGAGCTGCTTGTTATTCTCGAACGATTTTGTCATCTTTTCTCTGTCGACACCGAAGACAAACAAATCACTGGATCGTAACGCAAGCAACGAGGTTCAGCGAGGTTCGACACTTTTTCCAAATACAGAAGCGCATTCGATCGATTGCGTAATCCGAGATTACATCTGGCTACTGTTTAACGACAATCGTGCACGCTCGCGGTGAGTCATTCGCAGAATTGGAACGCGTTTGAACCTATCTATGCCGCAGCCTAGTAAAACGCGGGACGGAGGGTTAATACCCCCGACGAATTCAAGGCCGGGAACGCGGGTATCGACGAGCCGAGCCAACGCGAGTGGATGAGACCAATTCGATCATCTATGTCAGATCTTCGGCCGACGGGTCCTTGGACAGAAGAGGATGTGTGCGAAACGGTGACGCAAGCGTCGAGCAAATTGGCCGACAAAAGTCGGAGCGATTTTGCGAGCTCGCCTTTCCTTTCGATATGGCGGCTTTTGCCGCTTTCTAAAGCCGGGGACCGGTCGCCGTTGGAACCGGAAACGCGGCGGGCCCGCCGAAAAAGTCGCGAGGACCGTTCCGCAAACGCGTTCGTTAACCGGACGATTGGCGAGCGGACGGTACGCGACAGAAAAAATTACGGGGAACCGAATAGTCGCGGTGATTCGTTCTAACGCGCAAAAAAAAGAGCGGCCGGTCCGCGTTACGGCTAGGTAGTCGCATAATTTCTGATCGGCCGGCTCGCGGGGCTCGCGCGCATCCTTGACACCATCTGCCTAAAGGATGTGCTAAAGGTCGTAGCAATCGCGCGGTCTGACATAACGTCCGATTTCGCGAGCGGACAATCGGTTCCCTTCGGAGAATTCCACGGCATCAACAGATATTCCGCGGGCACGGGGAAATTATGTACGTGTTTTCACGGGCCGGGAATCGAGTGCGCCGAGCCACGCCGCGCGAGGCTCGTTTCACCGATGGAAACGCCGGATATTTATAGCAGCGGGAACGCGAGATGAAAGTAACACGGCACGGCAAAAGTGTAACACTTTTACGGAAGACAGAGAGAACCGGTGGACTTTCCAGATCCTCCGCGAGGAGGATCTATTATTAATTCAAGGCCGGATCGGCCGGCCGGAGGATCGAGAACGAGGGGAACGATTCTGGGACCCGCGACCCGCCCGGGAACAATGAGATTCCTTCGGGAACGGTGCCGACTCCATTTTGGAGAACGTCGAGCCTGGCCGCGCGCGTTAATCGAGCTTTTTTTCTCGGCGTGTCCTCGGAGGGGGAGATCCCGCATCGGACCGACACACCGACACCAGGCGACGTATGCTCGGGGATCCTCTCGCGATCAACCTTGACTCTAGCGAAGACTGAACCAGTTTTCAGCTGCCAGGCTTCGCGAGGTGTTCTCCGTCTTATCAACGCGGGGAGAGCGGCCGACGGCCGAGGCGGCCGCGGAATGGTGAAACTGTCGGGCCGATTTCGGATCGTGTCCGCCGTTCCCGCGGCTCTGGTTCCATACGCCGGGTCTCGCGAGAGAAACGGATCGAGCGGGACGGAGAGAGACGCTGCGCGAAAGCTTGTACCGGAGACGGTAACGGGCTCGCTCGCGGCTCGATTTCGGAACACGGAGAGCGAGCGCGACAAGAATTTCGGGCTTGTTCGTGGAGCGTTCGTGGATCGATCCATGGAGCAGACGGTTTTTTTCCCCGGGCGATCGTAACTTACCCGTCCCCATGGCTGACAGCAGCCTCCTTCAGCCGCGATCCTTCCTTGTATAGGTGGTCTCCAATGCTGGATGGTTTCACTGGCCGGTCAACAGTGTGAAAGAAAAAATAAATAAACCACTGAACACCTTTCGGTGGTGACGTCGTGAAAAGGACGAACTCCTCGTCCAGCCGGTAGACCGCGGACGAACTGGCGGCTGGCGAAGACTTTTGGTGAGACTTCGACGTGAGACAACGACGACGTCATCGCCGGCCTGGTGTCTCATTGGCCGGCGGTCCTTCTCTTTGCTCGACTTGCCTCTCTCTTTTCACCGGACTCCCTCCTCTCCTTTTCCTTCTACGAACTCCTCTCTCGCCGCTCTCGCCTCCGCCGCTTCCGCCGCCCGCGCCGCTCCGCGAACTTCCTCGCCTCTCGGTCTCTCACCTGGCCGCGTACGATCGCTCTTACCTGTTCTGGCTCACTCCCACGGCGGCGGGGCTAGAGCACCGGAGTCGCTCGAACGACGCGCGAACTCCGAGAGCCCGACGCCTGGAACCAATCCGCCTAGCCGCTCAGCGGCAACCGAGACCCTCTGCAACCTCGTAGAACCTGGCAGCAGCGTGGGTTCACCGAGGGGGTACACCGTGCCGGAGGTCAATGGATTATCACGAAATTGGTACCAGCAGCTTCCAGGCCGCTGCTGCGGCCGCTCGAACAGCGGCGGCAGGCTCGCTGAACACCTGGAACCAATCGTCCTAGCTTCTCCACGGTATCCGAGTCCCTTTCCTAGCTGGCAGAAGCTCTGACTGCGTGGGCTCGACAAAGAAGTTACGTCTGTGCCAGAGGTCCGGCGAGTCGAAATTTTGATCGCGCCGTCGCGTAGACTGTTTCGAAATTGGCGAAGAGTTGCTTCCAGCGATAATGTCGACGCTGAAACTCTGGCAGCAGGATCGCTGGACACCTGAAAAAAATCGTCCTAGCTTCTTCACGGTATCCGAGTCCCTTTCCTAGCTGGCAGAAGCTCTGACTGCGTGGGCTCGACAAAGAAGTTACGTCTGTGCCAGAGGTCCGGCGAGTCGAAATTTTGATCGCGCCGTCGCGTAGACTGTTTCGAAATTGGCGAAGAGTTGCTTCCAGCGATAATGTCGACGCTGAAACTCTGGCAGCAGGATCGCTGAACACCTGGAACCGATCTACTTTAATACTTTGTAATCTACGAGACCCCCTGCCAGCTAATTGAAGCTGATTACGCGGACTCGGTACGAGATACCTCATGCCGGAGGTCCATCAAGGCGATATTTTGATCGCATAAAATCGGCATCAGCGGCTTCTAATGTTGCTGCTGCATTATTAGCTTGCACGGGAAGCTCGTTTTCATTCTTTCGCATGGATTCGACGAAACGTGCTTTCTGAACAATCTAATACAGTATAAATTTGTCCTAATTGATTGCATAACCGATTCAAATTGTACGCAGAAATGGACAATTTTGGAAGAGCATTGTTCTCGGGGCACGTTTTTGAGGTCGTCGGCAAACGGCGTTTATAAAAACGAGACACGATGCTCGAACATTCGAGTCTCCTCTTCCCGAATCGTCCATTTTTAGTTCACAATCCGAGGGGGACGATTCAGGAGAATTTCCTGTATATAGTTTGTTTGAAAACGATTTATCAGATTGTTTGGAAAATTCGTTTCGCATTGCATAGAGAGCTCGTTTCATCGAATTCGTACGAAAGCTCTCGATTCGTACGAATTTTCCGAACAATCTAATAAAACTCTAGTAGCAGAGAAATCTATATAACAACTAGCCCCTCCGCAATGCGTAGACCTTCGGCGGATCGGTAGAAACTGGCAGCGTGGGTTCAGCAATGAATACGCCGTGGCAAAGGTCGGTCGAATCGAAAGGTCGACCACGTATTTCATCAGAAATCAATGCCGATAGCTTCCAGAACGATTATCGCATCTGGAGTATTATGCAGTGGGACTCTGACGCCGAATTCTTTAGACAGCCGTAGCCAATCTCGGCGCGGTATAAAAATACGAAAGGTGGTCCTATGAGTTGTCCGTCCCTGGAACCCGAGCCGTGGGGCATTCATTCGCTTTCTTCGACCCCCGGTGGCCAATAAATGTAACGCGGGTTCCTTTTGTATCCGCGCACGGAGGCAGTCCTTAAAATTTCAGACGAACCGGGCCCAACGCGCCACGCCGTGCCAGATATCGACGGCGCGACTGTTACAAAATCAGCGGCACCTCGCAGCGAACGGTGGCTGCCCCGGCCGTTGATTAATTTATCGGCGCGTAGCAGGGAATCGGATCACACCTGCACCCTATTCATCAAGCCCCCAGCGAGAAACATCCTTGGACAACGCGTTCGTACAGACGATATTCATGAATAATTCACGGGGAGCAGGCGCGAAAGCGATACCGATATATTTTTCAGCGGCCGGACGGATCTACATAAGATTCGCGGACGCGCGAGCCAACAGCCCGACCGGCAGACGCGCTTGAAATTCCTCGGGGCCGGATCGCGAGGCGCGGGGCCCCCCGACACACGGGTTTTTCTTCCGGCCGCGAGATCACAAATCAATGGGGACGTCGAACGAGCCTAAGCCCCTAGCTCGGTGCCGCTGAGCCCGAGCCGAGAGGAGCCGAGACGCGTTCACGGTGACGCGGCGCGTTTTCTACGCTGTCTCTATGAATCGAGCGCTGCCACGGCAGGCCGTAGATTAAGCGTAATGGTGCAAAGTATATAGCCGCGCGCCCGTGGATTCTTCTCTCTCCGTGGCCTCCGCCTGTGAAACGCCTCGAGGCGCCGGGGTTCAGCGACACCGGTGTACTCTAGCCGAGGGTACAGTGTCATTAGAGACGCGCAAAACGCGCGCGTGTATGGCTCGCTGCGCGAGTTACTGCCCCGCGATTATTTCGCTGGGACCGACGCGACGGCCCGCGACGCGCCTTCGTGCACCGCGATGGGAATTTTAGGGCTCCGCGCACATTTACGAGCCCGGGCCCGTCAAGCCGCGGAGAACAAAGATAATCCGCTTGCTTACTGGGAACGCTACGTGTCCTACTTCGACTTTTTTTCGCTTTCATATACGTATCGTGGTACAAGTAAGAGACGCGTGTTTTTTTTTTATATCGCCGGTAATTCGGTTTAGAGGGGCGAAATCCATTCTGAGAAGCTTAGCGTTGACGAGAATAATTCGAATTTCTCACGAAAATACTAGCGAATTCTCGCGAATTTGAATGTGTTTTTGCAGACGGATTTCAACCCTTTTAACTCTTTGGGGCACAGGATTTCAAGAAATAGAATAGACTCGTGTTGCACAGGAATTTTATCGCGTTTTAAATTAAACAAAATTAGTATATTTTTATTGACGAAAGAATTACATAATATAAAAGCATAACAAGGTAATAGTAATTCAATTTAATTTGTTGTTATAGGGTTGGACTCGAATTTATGATCGCGCACGTAACTATCGCAATATTTCGAGGTGTATCGAAAAGATGGGACCCTTTTAATCCCACCGTGCCCCAAAGAGTTAAACGAGTCACCATCGATGTAAAAAGAGAAACACGCGTCGCTTATTTTTTTATAAAAAAGATCGCGGGAGAACATTTACCTAGCGTTTCTCGTTAGTTCTAGCTTTCTCAGCTCTTGGTTACAACGTGGAACGAAAGCTACGGGAGGTCGCTGGACGATCGAGAGGTCAGAGGAATGCGAGCTTTGTTGACTTTTTTTTTTTAGTCGGCATTAGCGAACCTCTTATGATTAATCTTCCGCTGTCCGGCATATCGTAATTTCAAGCGTCCCTCTGAATTATTTCGTTCGGAGATATTTATGATTGTCGGGGTTGAGGCCTTTTTTGCGGAGGCCCCCCCAAAAAGATCCAGCATCGGTTATCGGTGAAAACAGAATTGCCGTTTTTTCAGCGACGAAAAGAAACGGAAGAAAGATTCTCTCGCTTCGACGCTTAAGCCGAGGTCTAAAAAGCGACTGACAATTGTTGCCTTATGAGAATTGCAACAGACAAAATTTATGTAAATTTGTCACAACTTTTATCGCAGTATGCGCCTATGTATAAAGAAATATATTCAACGGTTTCTGGTGGAAGCAGCTTTACGGCTTCGATAATTATGAAATAAAAAAATATGAAACCGGTCATTTGGCCGGCGATGGTAGGTTTAGTGTTAAAAACTAGTTTTCACCTTTAAGACGGGTATACGACGAAAAAGGACGCGTGTAGAATTTCTCACTAGATTATTAATAATCGTGACTCGCGCGGACACATTATTTAGACAACGAGGAAGGAAACAATCCAAAAAGGCCGATTCTTTCGTCCCCAGAAACCGGTACATCTGGCCCATTCGTACTGAATATTTCTGCAAACATGAGAATCCACCGCTTAGTCTGCGGTTTCCTCTAGCCAATTACCATAGGATATTCAAATAGCCTCCTCCTTCGATTATGCGAGTCGACGTAATTATCGAAAGTGGCAATTTGGCTTTGTCGACGAGCGTCGTTTGCTCGCCGAACGACGGGAATTTATTTGCAAAATTCGCCGCACGAAACTTCGCGAAGGGACCGATCCGATCCGATCCGATTCGATTCCGGATTCGGATTCGGCCGGCTATGGACGTCCGCGCGTCCACGGGCCCGTAATTGCGCATTCCCGGTGCACCACGGCCCGGGGACAAGCGGCGAAGAAAGTGTGAAACCCTGTCGCACAACCGCCCGGTTACACATCGTTTCTACGCAAATAGTGGATAGCGTAGGTTTCGCAGCGTCGAGTGGAATTATCCGCGAAAGAAGTTCTTCCTCTTTTTTATTTTCCTCCTCTCGCGCCGATGTCCTCGGGGCTATTCAATCTCCGGTTTCGTCCTTCCTGTTCCACGCGGAGCGCCGCGCCGCGCCGCGCCGCGTCGCGCCGTCCTGACGCCAAAACGAGTCGAGCGACGCATAACGAGTCCCGACAGAATCCCTGGATCCCATGAATTCTCCCTTCCGCAGATCGGAGGCAACGATCCGTGAGCCACGATGCAATCTTTCGAAGCATCGGGCAACGATCCATGAGACCCGGAGTCGGAGGATCTGGCTTCCGTGAATCCAGGCTACGATCCTACCGAGATACGGAACGATTTTGCCTGATTAAAAGGGTAAACTTTGCTTTCGCGGGATCGCCATTGTTTATCCCTGCCAC